GGAGGAGGAGGGACTGTGAGTTCTTGGTATTCTCCGACCTTGGTTACTTTTTTGCAGACATTTGGTTACTTTCTTGCAGACCCAACTAGGGAATATCATCAGTGCTAGAAGGGAGGGGGATTTGGGGTGAAGGGAGGAGGAAGGGGGGGGGAGGAGGAGGAGGAAGGACTATGCAGTCCTTGATGCTCTCTGAAGACCCCACAATTTAGCTTCTCATAGGTTAATTTTTTACTTTGTTAAACTGAAGTTAAGGTACATTATGTCTACTGCATTCCCACCATCTACTAAGAAAGTTATCCCATCCAAAAAAGGGGTTAGAGGTCATTACGGCCATTTGTTCTTGACGTATCCAAGTTGAACTTCTGCTAAAATTGCAGCCTTGGTTTTTAGGAGATTTACAAAACAATTTCATTACGATCAACTCTACAGCAAGGCGGGGGGGGTGGGGGGGTTGTCCAAAACAAGTCTTATTTATTACATACAAAAAAAATATCAATTGCCAGTAATACAAATTGTTTTTTAAAAAAAATACACGAAGCGCACACAGCACCTGAAGGGATGAATGTTTTAAATAAGGCTAGGTTTTACTCTGAGGATCCTTCTTTTCCTAATTCCAATTTGCATTCATCCCTCCAAACTCCTCCCTTCCCACCCTCACAAAAAAAAAGTTAAAAATCTATCCAAGCAAGCAAATGTAACTCAAGCTAATTTTTTTCTTCTCCAAAATATGATTTTGCAATCAAAGCCGGGAACATATTTACTGGGAGGATTTAAAGGGTGGGGGGGAAAATGATCAGTATTTTCGAGGGGGAAGGCTCGAAATCAAAACGGTCCTTTGCTTAACCCAAGGCTTCCCCAGGGAATGAATGTACATATTTACACAACCCAAGCAATGTTTGAAGTCTCCAACCAGCCTTCCCAAGAGTTAATTATAGGAGTTTTCGGCTGGGCCGCCCCACGAAGAAGGGAGACCCCTTTCCCTGGGTCAAGGGGTGGTGGTATTTGACTGGTTTGGACTGGTTCAGGTGAACTGGCTGTTAAATTTGCATCTGGTTTGCTGAACCGGTATTTGAACCAACTGTCTGGCACCTCCCAGCCCCACCCCTCCCAGGAGTCTCCACATGGCCCATTTTTGATGCAGATAAGTGCACGGAGGCTCGGGGGGGGGGGACTTCCAGAAGTCCAGAAACTGGCCTGTTTCCAGCTTCTGGTAAGCCTCCGGAGCCCGGGGGAGGCTCTTTTTGCCCTCCCAGAGGCCCGAGGGAAGCCTCCGGACTCTGGGGAAGGCAAAAAACAGCCAAACCAGAAGTACCAGTAGGCCATGCCCACCGTGGCCATGCCCACCCAGCAACCGGGCAGCAAACCGGTTGCTGGGATGTTTGAATCCCACCCCTGCCCTGGGTGACGTTGGGAGGGTCAAATTTCCCTGCCCCCCAAAAGATGCCAGTCTTCTCAACATCTGCCAGAGTGTGAATTCTAGGGAGGCAAAAGTAGCAGAGATCCCAAATGCCAAGGTTTGAGGGGGGGAACTCCCACCAATGGTTGGGGGTTTTCTTTAGATCAATCCGACTTTTGTTTAGGGACACCCAGAGGCTATCTTCTCCTGATGGATTGGTTTATTAAAGGGGTGAGGGGGTCCTACCCAGGAAACCTTACTATAGCACTATTCCTCAATCTCGTTGCCTCCAGATGCGCTGGACTCCAAACCCCATAATCCCCGGGGTCAAAAGGATTTAACGGGGGTCTTCCATCTCCAATCCTTCCTCGGGCAGCCCGAGAAAAATGCACCAAGGGATTAATAATGCCCACCTTCCTCCCTTCAGGGCCGATCCCCAATGAAAATATTAAAATATCTCTACTTAAAATAGGATCCCTATTTTAAAAATAAAATAAAATCAACCAATTCAATCGAAGGAATAATAAAACAGGTTAAGAGGGGGGGAAGAACTCCCCGAGAGGGGGATTTAAAAGTCTAAAGATGCCCAGCTGGGCAGCAAAATCCAGGCTGTTCCAAGCTCAGTGGCACATGGGTCTTGGCAGTGGCCTGGGGCATCTAGATGTATTCTCGGCTATTGGGGGGTTTGGAGATGGGCTTCCCTGCAGGATACTGGCGGTTTTTGTACCCGGAGGAATCTCCCGGACACGAGCAGGAGAGCATCCCACCCCCCAGCAGCGACAAAGCAGCACCTGCCCAGCCAATGAAGATGGCAGGGCCAAATTCGTACCTGCGGCAGAGAAAGAGACTCAGTGTGAGATAGTAAATGGGGTGGTGGTGTTTGGAGAGGCCTCTCCACCCCCTAAACCCCTCCCCACTTCCCTATCTCTGCAGCCCCGGAGAAAGAATTTGCTGGGTGCGTGAATTCTAGATGAAAAGGACTCTTCCCCGGAACAGTTACTGGGTGCTCTCCGGACATCACCTTGCTCCGGCATTTTTCTCACGTTCTCTTCCTACCTCGGAAGCAGCAAAACGGGGGGAGTGAGGATGCCAGAGGTGGGGTGCTGAAATAGCCCCCCCATCTCAAAAGGGACACATTCCCAATGGGCCAGGGAGGAAGGGGCGGGCCAGAAGAAGGGAATCTCAAGTTTGAAGCTGAAAGTTATTGTAAGAGAGATGCACCACATTTTGAGGGGCAGGGCAAAGTCAGACGCAGCCACCCCTTTGCTCTGGAATGGGCAGTGGGGTGTCTACACCCCCCCCCCCCCGTTCCTCTGGACAACCTACCTTTTATTCATGGGGGACAGGGGGTTGTAAAAATCTTGGACGATCTGGTTCGCGCTCCAGGAACAAGCGACCAGAGAACACAAACCTAAGCGAGTGGAGAATAAAAGGAAAGTCACAAAATGGTTTGAACTTGGTTTGATGGCTCTTTTTTTCCTCCCCAGAGGTGAAATAAACCTATCTAGTGAATAAATTTGATATTTGGGGTAGTTTGCCATTATGGAGACCAGCAAGGTCTACTTTGGGCTTGCAAAAAAAAAAAAAAAAAAAGGCCAAAATATGTTTGCTACCTGTACAGGAAGTCCTTGACTTGCGACCAAATTGAGCCCCAAATTTTCTGTTGCTAAGTTGGACCGAGTTTTTCGCCAAGTTTTGTCCCTTTTTGCGACCTTTTTTGGCCCACGGTCATTCAGTGAAACCTGGCAGTTGTTAAGATATTAATGTCAACTAAAAAAATACTTCTTTGGTGTTTTTAGTTGCCAGCAGAAAGGGAGTGGGGGAAAGCAGTGCATTCCTTAAATGCTTCAGATAATTGCTAGGCAGCCAAAGCTGTTGGCGTGCAAGATTGTTACCAGAGCGCGCGATTGAGGACTCTTGGCTATGGAGGTGTCCCATTGGAGAACATACATCCAGAGGGTGGGAAGAAGACCGGAGTCAAGGGGGAAATGAATGATGTGTTTTAGTGTCGGCTGCAACCAGGATATGCCGACATGTCAACTCCAAATAAATCCATTTTTTTTACTCTGAGAGATGCGGCTAGAGACTTGTGATTTGAATGGGGGTGCATGTTGGAGCCTTGACAATTAACATGGTTGTTCAACAACTCCAGTTTCACCATTGACTTGGCTTGCCGGAAGGTCACAAAATGGGGGATCACGACACGACAACAGTCGTAAATAAGAATCGCTCACCAAGCGTCCATATTTTGATGTGATCCCGGGGATGCTGCAATTCTCTCGTAAGGGTGGAAAAACAGTGCTGACGTAAGTTTGAATGGTCACTAAAATGAACGGTTGTAAGTCAAGCTAGATTAGACCTGTTTAAAAACTATATCCGAATGAATTGTGGTTGTGTTTATTCCTTGTCACGCTTATCAGGCTGGGCATAAAACCAGCATTTAGAAATAGGAAACACATCAGCGCAAACTTAGAAAATGGGTTAAAACAGGAATCGGCAACCTAAGACTCTAAAGCCACATGTGGCTCCGGAGCCTCTGCTCCCTGTTGCTCAAAATGTGTCACAACCGCCATTGTGCGACACCCGCCAGCACGTGATTTACTGAGCTTTTCAACCCCCAGTAGGTATTTGTGGCTCCCGATGTTTTCTTTTCTGTGGGAAACGGATCCAAATGGCTCTTTTTGAGTGTTTAAGGTTGCCAACCCCCGGGTTAACAGAAGGAGCTGGTTGTGGGAATGTAGCCGATAGGCGATCAAACGTGGTCTTGCAATGTGCAGCTAGAGCAGTGGTCGCCAATCGGTGGGCCATGGCCCACCGGTGGCCCACAAGAAAATTTTGGTGGTCTGCAAAGAAATGTCACCCCCCCCAAAGCAATTAATCCAGGCTGCGCGGGAACACAAGGCTTGCATCGCTTGCATTGCCCACACGAGGTAGTGAGGGGAGAGGGGAAGAGCAGAGGGGGAGAACTTACCCCACGCGCCTCGCCTGGCCAGCGGGCTGCTTCTTTCTGCTTCTTTCTTCTTCTGCTTTTGGCTGCATGCAAGGAAAGCAGCCAAAGTCTTTCTTTCTCTCTCCCAAACTCTGCCAGAAATGAGTCTTTGGGACCCTGTAAGGCTTCCTGCTCCAAGAGGCTGCGCCAGTGCGACAAGTCTCACAAAGACTCTTTTATGGCGGAGTTTGGGGGAGAGAAAGAAAGACTTCTGCGGCTTCTGCTGCTTTCCTTGCATGCAGCCAAAAGTCTCTCCTCTCTCTCTCTCTCTCCCTCCCCCCCCCCCTCCCCCCCCCCCCCCCCGAGAACGGAGCTGGAGATCCCAAATAAAGAATGATCGATCAGTAGGAAAACAGGGTGAGGAATTTTCCTGCAGACTTTTTGGGGGATTTTCCCAGGGTCTCTTGTCTGCGGGCTTTAAAATTAGGAGCTTGGTGGTCCCTGAAGTCCAAAAGGTCGGCAACCCCTGAACTAGAGGATCTCAGGCAACGCTAAATAAAGCCAAGGCAAGAACGGGCTGCTTCCCTCAACGATGGAAGCAAAAGGTGGCTTGTTTTCACAGGAGCCCCTTTTGGGGTGACCTGCCCACGGGGGCACAGCGATCTCGTGCCAATGGGCTGGGGTCCTTGCCAGGTTTGGGAAGAAGGGACAGAAAGAACGGAAGGAGGACACTCACCCGCCACGAGGAAGATGATGCCGCCCGTCATGGCGATGCGGGCCTTGGTGACCTTGTCGTCTCCGCAGCGGGTACATTTCATGCCCATGGTGGCGATGCCAATGGCGATCACACCCATGACAATGGAGATGACCATCAGCGCCCGGGTGGCTTGCATGGCAGCTGCAGGGAGGAGAGGCAGAAACAGAAGGTTAGAGGGGCTCAGCTGCAGCCAGATTAAATAGAAATGTAATGTGTGGTGCGGTGGCCGAGAGGCGGAACTCTCGCCTCACAATCAGGAGGCTGTCAGTTCAATCCTAGGGAAAGGCAGATATTTCTCTCTCTGGGCACACTGAGAATATATCTGCCGAACAAAACTCCGCACTGGTGACAGGAAAGGCATCCGGCCAGTAAAACCCTCAGCTCCATTCAGTTGCCATTCAAATTTGGGGGTCCATTGTGGAATGGAAATGAGTGGTGCAGTAGCCTAGAAGGGGAGTTTGCGCCCCATGATCAGGAGGCTGTGAGTTCGATCCCAGGTTGAGGCAGATATTTCTCTCTCTCTCTGGGCATGATGAGAATATATCTGCCAAACAAAACTCTGCACTGGTAACAGGAAAGGCATCCAGCCAGTAAACACTCTGCTAGCTCCAGTCAGTTGCCCAGACTCCACCCCGCAAGGGATTATGGGGTAGTTAAAAAACAGAAACAAAAAATAGAAATGTAATAAGTCACAATAAGAACAATTAAGATGATTAAAGGCCTGGAGACTAAAGCATATGAAGAACGGTTGCTGGATTTGGGTTTGGCCAGTCTGGAGAAAAGGAGGATGTGGGATGACATGACAGCTGTAAGGCATCCAGAAAGTATCCATGATATTAATCACTCCGAGACATTATCTCTCCAACTGATTTATTAGAAACAGATCTGGTATGTCAAAAGCAATTTCCCAAATGAAAGTTTTTTCGCGCATTACACAGAATCCACCTTCTCTCCTCCCTTCACTCCTCCCACACTTCATAAATCACGAGAACCAATTAACTGCAACTGGAAATTCTTAATACGACATACAGAATAACCTTGAACTTTTCAACTCCTCTCTCTCAAAAAAAATGTGGCAGCTGAATTTCAAAGCTGACAGGCGCCCCCCTTGAAAACTCCTCCTCCTAAAAGAACAGAAAAAAAACACATACAGGGGTTAATACATTGTCCTTAACCCCCTCTCCCCCCGCCACAAGGACCCTTCGGTTTGTGGGGAAAATCCTCATGGAATTGGTTAACCAATTGATCAGCATGAGCATCCCAACTCTTTACCCAGCTAGCATCTGAGAGGGGGTATCCTTTCCATAAGACCAAATATTGCAATCAGCCACGGTGTAATCTAGAATCGAGAATTTTTTGAATCTCATGTGTTTCCCCAAGTACCATTAACAGTTTAGAGGGAGCGGTTGGCAGTGGTCTTATCATCAATGTAATAGCTGGTTTTAGTAAACTACAATGGAACACCGGATGAATTTTCCCCAATAGTCGAGGAAGACTTAATTGGACAGTGACCGGATTGATTATCTTTGAAATTGGGAACGGACCCAAGAATTTTGGACCCAGCTTCTTACTGGGCAGTTTCAACCTAAGATACTTGGTCGACAAATATACTTTGTCCCCTACTTTAAAAGGCGGTTGAAGGGATCCGCCTGTTTTTTATAATTTTTTGCAGCTTCGGTCAAAGCTTTTTTTGTATCTTCCCATCCTTTCTTTAATGTGTTCATCCATTCTGTCAGGGATATGGATGAGGGAGGTTGTCTAGGTAACTCTAACATCGGGACAAAATCCATTCCAGTGTTGATTTGGAATGGAGTTAATCCCGTGCTGCTATGTACTGCATTATTGTAAGCAACCTCTACAAAAGGTAATAACTCAGCCCAATTTTCTTGTTGAAAATTTACATAGCATCTAATGTATTGTTCAATCATGGCGTTAGCCCTCTCCGCTGCTCTGTTACAAGCAGGATGGAAAGCTGAGGATAACCCTTGAGATGAACCAATGGATTTCAGAAATTCCCTCCAAAATTTTGCAGTAAATTGTACCCCTCTGTCTGATATTATTCAACGAGGTACTCCATGTAGTCTATAGATATGTTTCACTAACAGCTTTGCATTTTTTTTCGCAGATGGAAGTCCTTTGCAGGCTATAAAATGGGCCTGTTTAGAGAATAAGTCAATCATAGTCCAAACGATCGTATTCCCTTCACTCTTAGGTAATTCAACAATAAAGTCCATTGCAAACTCTTCCCAAGGTTGGGTTGGTTCAGCAACTTGTTGCAGGAGGCCAGGGGTTTTTCCAGTTCTGTGTTTCATTGTGGCACAAATTGAGCAACTTTTTACATAGTTCTCGACATCAGGTTTCATTTTTGGCCACCAGAACTGTCTTCTCAGTAAATGTAGGGTTTTTAGGAATCTGAAGTGGCCTCCCAGCCGGGAGTCATGGCTACGCTTTAGTACCAGTAGTCTTAGGGTTGTGGGTACATAAAGCTTAATCCCTTTCCAAGCTAGTCCATCATTCATTGTCAACTCGGTTTGATGGTCCAGGAACCAAGGGTCGGTCAATAGGGCCATTTTCAATTCTGGAGTCAGCTTATCTTCCAGGTGTTTGGGGTTGTGGTTGGCTTGGGCTCGAGTGGTCACTTGGCCTGCCGATTGAGCTTCTGAAATTAAGGCTTGTACTATATCCTCTCGGTGGCTATCAAACTGAGGTTTTCTGGACAGAGAGTCCGCCAGTACGTTTTTCCCTCCGGGGATATATTTAATGTTAAAGTTGAATCCCTTGAAATATTGGGCCCAGCGGACTTGTTTGGGCGATAATCTCCTACGGGTCTTTAGAGACTCGAGGTTCTTATGATCAGTGCATACCTCAAAGGCCTCTGGAGCCCCTTCTAGAAAATGCCTCCAAGTCAACAAAGCCCATAGTATGGCGAATGCTTCTTTCTCCCAGACGGCCCACCTTCACTCTGTGTCTGTCAGCTTTTTGGACACATAAGCCCATGGCATCAGTCAGTCTTGAGAGTCCTTTTGCAGCAAAACAGCTGCCACCGCTACATCACTTGCATCTGTTTGGACAATAAAAGGCTTGGTCGTGTCTGGGTGCTGGTGGATGGGCTCAGCTGGGAAAAGGCGCTTTAAGGCCTCGAAAGCTTTCTCACAGTCCATAGTCCAAGCCAGGGGTTGACTTGGCTTTGGTTTGGTGGGCGATGGGCACGTTTTTAACAGCTCCGTCAACAGGAGGGCAACTTCAGCAAAGGACAGAATGAATTGTCTATAGAACTTGGCAAACCCCAAGAAACTTTGAAGTTGTTTTCGGGTTCTGGGGGGTTGCCAGTCCAGCACCGCTTTCACCTTTCCGGGGTCCATTTCAATCCCCAGGTTGGATATTCGGTAGCCTAAGTAGTCCAACGACTCTTTGTGGAATTCTCATTTTGAGAGTTTCACATATAATTTGGTGGCTAGAAGTTTTTCTAGAATTTGTCGGACTAATTGAACATGTTCTTCCATGGTTTTGCTGAAGATAAGGATGTCACCCAGGTACACGAGGACCCCCCGGTAAAGGTGCGGGTGTAGCACCTCATTGATGAGCTGCATAAACACTGCAGGAGCCCCATGAAGTCCGAAAGGCATGACTTTGAATTGGAAGCTACCCAGAGGGCAGTTAAAAGCAGTTTTCCACTCATCTCCTTCTTTGATGCGGACCCGGTAGTAAGCTTCCCTGAGATCTAGCTTGGTGAATATCTTGCCCTTCGACAGGTGGTTCAATAAGTCCTTCATAAGGGGGAGAGGGTACATGTTTTTGATGCATATGGTGTTCACGCCTCTAAAGTCAACACACAATCTCAACCCGCCATCTTTCTTCTCCTTGAACAACACGGGGGAAGCTAGTCTTGATTTGGCAGGCTCAATAAAACCTCGTTCCGAATTGCTGTCGATGTATTTCCTTAATTCAGTCATTTCAGCAGGCGTCATGGAATACATCTTTGGTTTTGGTAATTTCGCCCCGGGCTCTAATTCTATGGTGCAATCAGTGGCTCAATGGGGAGGTAAGACATTACACTCTTCTTCAGTGAATGCTTCAGCCAAGTCTTTGTATTGGTTGGGTACCTGGGGGTTATCTGGGAGAAGGTGGGATGCCATGGATGCTGGCTCAGGCTCTGGGTTCAAGCTGACCGGTGGCTTTGTAGTGGGTGGAAGAGGGGGCAATGGGCCCGGTCCAATGAAGATTTTTCTGAACCCATCCTCCCATTTGATCATCGGGGCCCATTTGTCTAGCCAAGCAAGTCCCAGTATGATTGATTCTGACCTCCTGGGGGCCACTATGAAGCATATGAGTTCGCGATGGGGCCCTAATTCCATCTTGATCAATTCAGTCATCTGAGTGGCTGCCCCCCCCCAATTAAGGTTCCATTCACTTGCTCAAATCTGATTGGGTGTTTTAGCGGGTTACTCTTTATGCCCAATTGTTCAACGATGGGGAGTCTGATAAGGCATCTAGAACACCCAGTATCAATGACCGCTTCTAACTCCCCGGCCTCCCCCGTGTTTGGTACCACTAACTTGAGCTTGACTGTAAAAGGTATGATGGGATCACTCACCATTGGGTCGTCTTCGCAGGTCGGGTTCTCGGGGACGTGGTGTCGGTCTGGTGGTCTGTTGCTCCCATCTGCGCAGAGGGGGCTTTCCCAGCTGTGTTTGGCGAACCCTCTCCTGGCTGGAGGTCTTCGATTCTTCCGACTTCTAACAGCTGGATTAGGCTTCGACTGCGGTGCTTGTGGTACAGGAGCAGGGGCTAGACAGTCTGCTGATCTATGGCCGGCTTGGCCACATCGGTAACATTTCAGCACCCTGGTAGGTTGGGTACGAGCAGGTTCAGCTGATCCGGTTGGCGGTCTCCTAGCCACAATTCTCTTAGGCAGGGCTGCTGGAAGGGGTTTCCTGTGTGGGTTGATGCTGCGATCTAAGCTGAGGGATGCGACATACCATGATTGTAAGGTCTCTGGGATTCCCCTAATTTCACAGGCCTTCTTTACTTCTGGATCAATGGCTCTTTAAAAATAGTGTAAAATCATTCTTTCAGGCCAATCCATGAGGTGGCTTGCGACCCCTCTAAAGTCCCAAATGAATTCTGACAAGGGTTGCTTGCCTTGCCTCATTTCCATTAACTTCTCTTCATTCTCTGCTACCCTGTCTGGATTTTCAAATCTGAGCCTTAATAATTGAATAAATCAGTTTACATCGTATAATTCGGGGGCTTGTTCATTGTGTAGTTGGGCCACCCAGTCTGAAGCATCCCCTTCATTCATCCCATTTGTTATGGCCGTAACCAAATCACGCTCTGTGGCATATTGATCTCCAAATTGTTCTATATGGGATCGGATTCGAGTGAGGAAGTAATTGAAATGTTCATGGCGGCCATCGAATACGGCCTCAAAGGGTATTCGGTCCGGCCTGGGACGTGGTTGCGGAGGTGGCACATGCCAGGCTCCTGCAGGTTGTACTGGAATGGAAGGAATAGGCCGGGTGGCGTACGTAGGCTGGGTAGGCCCCCTGAATCCTGGCTGGGTGGTGCCTCTCTGGAATAGGGGTCCCTGTGGTCTTGCTGCTGGTTGGGGCCGCAATTGTGGTTGCCAGGAGGAAGATGGGTGTGGCCTGGTTTCTTGGTCAGGTGGAGGGGATGTGGCTGCTGTCTGCTGTCTGGCAACCCCCCTTCAGACCAGGGCTGTGTTGGTGCTGGCTGCCATTGGCATTGAATCCACCCCTGGCCTGGATAAAATCCTCACCATGGAGGGATACTCTCTGCAGGGGGCAAATTCCTTCTGGAAAATGAGGGGATTGCCTCTAAGGCTGCAACATACCTCTGTTAGTTGATGCTTCTTTCTGGCTTCCTCCAACTGGATGTATAGTCTCCTCATTCCTCACGATACTTGGGTAAGTGAATATGGGTGGTCTCAAGCTTCCACCTGTTAAAAACAGACTGGGAGACCAAACCTGTCACCTTTAAATTCTGGAACTGTTGATGTAAATCTGCTCTTGATGGACTTCCAGGAATAATCTGGGGGTTGTCTTCTTGAGAGAATTCCGACCCCAATTGTCTCTCTTCCCTACAATCCGACAGAATAGCCATATGCTTGGGGCTAGAGAAAGATTTCTCTTCAGACAGCTGGGTTACCTCTGGGTTATAACAATTTCTTGAGTTGAAACGCCTCAGTATAGCTCCCAAATCTCTTTCTCCTACTGCCATCCTGGAAGCATCCATCATCTCCTCCCAACAAGGGTTGGCAGGTTCAATTAATGCTCCGGAGGGAGGGCCCCCACACACTCCCCCCTGCACACCTCCAACCTCAGTTGATTGTTGATAATTCTCCATCTCAGGAAAAAGAACTCCGGGTATCAGCCAAGCCCTTTTTTTTAAAAAAAATGACTTGGGAAATAAATGTAAGGCATCCAGTAAGTATCCATAATATTAATCACTCCGAGACGTTATCTCTCCAATTGATTTATTAGAAACAGATCTGGTATGTCAAAAGCAATTTCCCAAGTGAAAGTTTTTTCGCACGTTACACAGAATCCACCTTCTCTCCTTCCTTCTCTCCTCCCTCTTCTACACTTCATAAATCACGAGAACCAATTAACTGCAACTGGACATTCTTAATACGACATACAGAATAACCTTGAACTTTTCAACTCCTCTAACTCTCTCTCTCTCTCAAAAAAGTGGCAGCTGAATTTCAAAGCTGACAACAGCATCTTCCAATATTTGAGGGGCTGCCCCAAAGAAGAGGGGGTCAAATTATTCTCCAAAGCACCAGAAGGCAGGACAAGAAATAATGGGTGGAAACTAACCAAGGATAGAAGCAACCTGGAATTAAGGAGAAACTTCCTAACAGTGAGGACAATTAACCTGCGGAACAACTTGCCACCAGAAATTTGTGGGCGCTCCCTCTCGGGAGGTTTTGAAAAAGAGATTGGAGAGCCACCTGTCTGGAATCATATTGGGTCTCCTGCTTGAGCAGGGGGTTGGACTAGAAGACCTCTGAGGTCCCTTTCCCACTCCATTCTGATTAAAAGGGTCGATAATGAGGCAGCCAGGAGTGTTGGCTACAGGAATGGGGGGTTTCGCTGGTATTGCTTTCCGGATACCCCAGCACCCCTTTTTTGTAAGCTGGTCTGTCCTGATAGCCATGCCCTACCCACCAAGTCTGGCCACCCTGATGGAGAACCTCTGCACCTCAATATCCACCCAGCACCCCAAAATCTACCCTGGCACCCCAATTCTCACCCTGGCACCACCATATACACCCCAGCACCCCAATACACAACCTGGTACCAATAGACACCCCAACATGCCAATATACAACCTGGCACCCCAATAAACACCCCAACACCCCCCCTGGCCCAATAAACAAACCAACAAACAACCTGACACCCCAATAAACACCCCAGCACCCCAATACACAACCTGGCACCCCAATAAACACCCAAACACCACACCTGGCCCGTTAAACACCCCAACACACAATCTGACACCCCAATACAAACCCCAACACCCCAAAAACCAACCCTGACACCCAGTGCCCACTCCCGGCATTTGATATACATCCCAGCACCCCAATGCACACTTCAGGATCCCAATACCCCTCCCTGGCACCCTCAATACTCCAGTATGCACCCCAGCACCCCAAAACCCACTCCTGGCCCTCCAAAACCCACCCAAACATCCAATATCTAATCCGAGGACCCCAATATACCCTCCATCACCCCAATAACAGCCTCCGGTCCAGCCTTCTGCATTACATTAGCCCCCCCCTCCAAAATCAGGGCCCATGGCACACCCACAGAGCACAGATTGGAGGGCATAGCTTTGGGGAAGTCAAGGAAGGCTGTTAGGAATGTAAGTCACCTAACATTTGGATTGGATATATTTAAACCAGGATAGACATTTTAATACTGTCTCTTTAAGGGAATGCTAAAATTGTAATTGGGTGTGGTTCCTCAAAGGGCCATAAAATGGAGCCAGAAACCTGGGTTGTTTAGTTCCTGTTCTATTGTTCTGGAGAGTGTTGCCGTTCCTATTGACTATTGATTGTTTGCTGATCATAGTTCTTCTTGGGTTTGATGTAAGTCTGTTACTGAACTGTTTTTGATACTGGACTTTGTTATTGGATTATCCCTGGACTGACAACTGACTGCTTTAACTGTGAATGACTTGGACTGCTTGTTTGGACTTTGCTTAAACGTTTATTGGAAGTAAAAAGCCTACATTTTACTATACAGTGTATCTGTGTGCTGTTTGTGTGTTATTCTTCACCACTCTCACTACGTCTCCCTGTGTGCGCTCATTCTCCTAATGGGGAATTACCTCAACAAAGGCAGTGTGTTTGCCTGGGTGTGGCATGCACTTTACCAGCTTTCTGGGCAAATATTTAGAAGGCCCCCAGGCTCAGGCCTAAACAGGTGCCAGGGAACTGTGCCACCTCAGGGAAGGAAGCAGGTGGGTGGGTGGGGTTGCTGAGGGGCACCATTGACCCCACCTTGCCCATGGTGAGAGTTGGGCAGTGAATAAAGAGGTTTCTCTTTTGACAGGAAGGAAGGAAGGAAGGAAGGAAGGAAGGAAGGAAGGAAGGAAGG